ATGTTACAGGAATTTTGATTTTGACTTATAGTTGTTGTATATCTTCATATTGAAAGTGGTATCTCGTTAAATGGAAGTATAGGTATTATCTACTTGTTTCTTACTTTTCTTTAAGGCTAGGCGTATGAGTCGGTTATTGTATTGATATGAAATCAATATCTGTATGCTTTAGTACAAAAATGATCCCTGATATAGTACTAAATCAAAGTGGAATGTATTCAGTATAACAGTGATATTTGATATTCACGTAGAAGTAGACGGGTTTCCTATAGGAATTTCCTATGTCTACTTTTACATGATAAAAGACGCCTAATTTTATGCAACCAAAGTAACTTCTTGAAGCAAATAAAGATCTGGCTGCCATATTAATTATTAATTTGAATTTGTTGCTTTGGCTTCATAGAAATCGGCACTATACCAATTGCAAATATCAACTTTTTCTTTAAGTTGAATACATCGCACACGAATCGCAATTAGAATAATGGAAGTCAAACCGATATTTAAATTAATTAATATGACAGGCAGATCCTTATTTGTTGTAGGTAGGTACTTTGGTTGCATAAAATTAGGCGCTCTTTAGAAGACTTTTTATCATTTAGAAGTAGACATAGAAAATCCCTGTCTACTTATACATGAATATCACTGAATGTAAAACCTTTTAACCACATAATCACATGAAAAATTAGATGAACTTCATTCATTGTCGGGCAGTTATCTCAGGAAGAAACAAACATTTTGTCTAAATATTCAGTCAAGCTCGAGTAGAAGCCAGAGACTAAATAGGAAACCAGTAAATAAAGAACTTACAGTCCCATTGCTCTTTGACTGCTATCATCAAAGCTGTAGGTATATCTCTCGGTCTATTTAAATTTAAAGAAGAATGTCCAATATTTAAATTTGAGTTGCCTCTGTCAACAGAACGTCGCCTTAAGTTTCCACGCGGGTATGAAAGCCTATTCCCAACACCAGTGAGGTTATATGATGGAATTGCACGTTTTATGATTTGGACACACTGATGAACCAAATACACTTTGGCACGTGGACGACATTACAAAGTGCAAATAGGACGATTATATAATCGTAAACAACATAGATAGTGTATTGAGTTTAGGTCAGTCAAGAGAGTAAGATGTGGGCTATGAAAGGCAAACTGTTCAAACCGCCCTTAGGTATATTCAAATAACAACTAAAGCTATGTTTAAATGTTGATTGTAATAGGGCTGGCGTTACTTGGACTTGTCCTATTTGCCGTACGTTTTTCGGAGGGTTATAACGATAAATATCCTTTGACAGCCCCTTTCAAAACTCGTAACATGCACACTTTTCGTATAGGTAAGTACGACCATTGCAACTTAAATGCTTCACCCCCAAATTTGCAGCCATCATAGCAGACTTAGACTCTATCTCAAAAAGTCCAACAGAAGAAACCACGTGGATTTCGTATTTAAAGAAAGGCTACTTAAGGTATCTTCCGGGAAGAGACACCATAGTAGTGAACTGGGATCGCACGGACCCCATCACACTGAAGACTAACTACGCGATCAAAGACCGAAGTATGGAGCTTTCGGAACTGGTTACGTACGATGGAAAATTGCTGGCCGTTGACGATCGTACAGGCGTGGTATTTGAAATTGTTAACACTGAGGCTATACCATGGGTGCTGTTAATGGACGGAAACGGCAGAACTACCAAAGGATTTAAATCCGAGTGGGCTACCGTTAAAGATAGGCTGTTGTACGTTGGATCTATAGGTAAAGAGGTCATAACGTATGAGGGAGAGTTTGTAAATAATGACCCACTTTACATAAAAACGATAACCCCTGAAGGTGTCGTAAGTGATGATCTTATTAACGAAGGTCGGCAATTGAAATTCGGTTTTGTTAGATATCGCATATCGACTGGAAGGATCAGTATCTGCGCCTAAGAGCCGCTATTGACATTTACTGGCCTGGATATATGACACATGAAAGTGGCGTCTGGTCTGAGGTACATCAAAAATGGTTCTTTTTACCGCGAAAGTGCAGTACAGAAAAGTACAACTACACGGCGGATGCGTACTTGGGGTGTTCTTATTTACTCAGTGCAGATGCCGATATAAACGGTATTCGCGCAGTGCAGGTGCTTCTATAGGAATTTCTGCTGCTCCATTTATACTATTTCTATTTCGCTTTAGATACCTAGTGTGGATGGTTCGCGAGGATTCTCTTCTTTCAAATTCATACCGACATCGGGTGATACAGTCATTGTAGCCCTTCGCAGTGTTGAAGTGGGCGATAAAACGGCGACGTACATCACCGCATTTACAATAGAAGGAAAGGTTCTCCTACAGGATACCTTAATATCTGACCTAAAATTCGAAGGTATAGAATTTATCTAACAACTCTTAGGAGCGTAGTATTGTGACAATAGTTTTAGTTAGTAGTAGTTACTTCTTGTTTACATAGCATACGAAAATAGTTCGTAATGTATCAGAAACTACTTTGAACTACTTAAACAAAAATAAATGCATACACGATACAAAGTATTGAATTCATATTAACATACGCATATCCAAAATCACAAACTATTAAGCACAAGTTAACTACCTTGAGAGGTTCCACCCTGTATATTCAACCTTACGACAATGAGTAGTGACACCTAATTCCGTGATTGTGGTCCACATTCAACTGTAGGCTGGAAACCCCGAACGAGGGGCGAGTCACATATCTTGGGGGCAAGATTCTGATAATAAAAACTCTTCTGCTTGGAATCTTTGTTGCGATTCAAAAAGGAAGGTTATAATAGTTTCAAACAGTTCCAAGATTGGGCTACTAGTTCAAAAGTTACAGCCCTTTGAATTTTCTTTCGAAATTGGTTTCTAGTCTATAACTTTTATTGAGAATGCTGATCGAAAAAGTACGAATTGTTTTGGATTCTACGCACCAAAATTAATAAGAAAAAGTGTTTTCCCGAGAAATTTTGGTGCAGTCGATTTTTGGTCAAAAAGGAAGGTTATACACTGCCTTTTTTTGAGGGTCGAAGAAAAAATTGTCTCAAATCGAACCGAAAAAATTATTTTCTTATAGAATGTGGCATGTAGAATCCATAATTTCAAACAGTTCCAAGATTGGGCTACTAGTTCAAAAGTTACAGCCCTTTAAATTTTCTTTCGAAATTGATTTCTAGTCTATAACTTTTTATTGAGAAGTCTGATCGAAAAAGTACGAATTGTTTTGGATTCTACGCACCAAAATTAATAAGAAAAATTGTTTTTCCGTGAAATTTTGGTGTAGACGAGTTTTGGTAAAAAAGGAAGGTTATACACTGCCTTTTTTTTGAGGCCGGAAAAAAGAATTGTCTGAGATCGACCGGGAAAAAACATTTTCCTATAGAATTTGGCCCGTAGAATCCAGTTTGAAGATTGGGCTACAAGATCAAAAGTTACAGCCCTTCGAATTTTTTTTCGAAATTTGTTTTTTGTCCATAACTATTTATTGTTTTGGATTCTACGCACCAAAATTAATAACCAAACGTATTTTCCCGAGAAATTTTGGTGCAGTCGATTTTTCGTAAAAAAGGAAGGTTATACACTTGGTTCTTTTTGGGTCGGAAAAAAAATTGTCTGAGATCGACCGTACAATTTACACTTGTCAGGGTTTGTATATAAATTTAACATAAATAATATAAGACACTGTACACTTATACATAAGACAAGACACATGTAGAATTAAAATGACACGATTATAAAAAAACGCAAAATGTAAAATTTAAGGGATCAGGTGACTAGACTCAACGAATTCTTCAAGCGAATAAAACACATGTGTCACTAAAAATGATTTTAACTTGTGTCTGAAATTATTAGACGGCTATTGTCTGACATTTGGGGGCACAGTATTGAATAAGCACTTTGATTTATAAGGTACTTAGGTACACCGTTTTGTGTTACAGCGAGGCGAGAACATGGACGTCTAACGATATCTTTTCGTCTAGTGTGGTGTTGGTGGACGTCAGATTGTCTTATAAGTTTTCCTTCGTTCTTCTTTGCATAACAATAATTTAGATGACTTCATGTGCTAGTAGTGAAAAAATTGTAATATACCATGGCAAGCGCCTCGAAATGGTGCTCAGGCAATAATACTGGACTTCTCTGCCTTAGTATATAATGTACTATTTTTAGTTATCATTGTGTGGGTGTCAAGTAGTACCTAGTTAGTTGTCCTCATGATTAAATGCTAAAAAAGGATAAAGAAAAAGAAAGTTCCTTAAAAACGATATAACGACTGCCGAGTAGGCAGGGCAGTTACAAATTTGGATTCTATTCAATGCGTTGCTGGACGTCAATTTAATTAGAACTCTTCCAGTACCTCTGCCACAAAATTAAATGAACGGTCTGTGTCAGAGTTATAGTCCACATGCACTTTGGAATGTTATAAATTACATTTTGGTCATTATAACTCAATTTGGCTTATCTCATATGAAATACCCAACTAAATTTTTAAGCTGTATGGAAACCACTAAGAATGCCGCAGGCTCAAAAATTCTAAATTACTTACTATCAAATTAAAGGAAATTTATATTAGGTTTGCTCAGGCAAAGCCTACTCCAAATCAGTAGGTTTAAGGCATGAGGCAAAATAGGCAAAACCACACATAAAAACCAATGTTCTGAGTAGCATCTTTTAATAACATCAACAATTATACATTTTTTTTCATAGAACTCCACTCGCGTAACCATTCTTTGAAATTTCCACATCTCCAATTAGCTATAGATATTTGCGTTCTTTAGAATTCGACCGATGATGGTCAATTTCTTCGTACCATCCAAAAACGATGATAAGGTAATTCGTTACTGAAATTTTTTACGTCGTTGTCGCGACAAACTGAACATCTGATGAGTACCTCATGGTACAACGAGCAAAACAGGTAGGTAGGTACATTCATTAATTATTTATAATTTTAGTTGTACGGTAATTTTGTATAATCACTTCCCTCCTCTTCACCCGGTACCGATGCCAATGGTAAATACCAACATTGTGAAGGTGAATGACGCAGATTCTAGTTAGTTTGCCTCACGGCAACTTCTTCACCTTTCGTCGCGTCGCTGTTTTATAATTATAGTCCAAATAGACTTTTGTGGTGCATAGAACTAAATGCAAGAAATTTCGGGTGTGTTGGGTCATGATTCGCAATGATGAAGACGTGTTCGATACTTTTGCTCATTCTCATAATCAGAGGTGTTTCGCTACAATGTACAATCTCCACGTTCGACGACACAGTAATAAGGATAAACAACGTCAAGGAAACCATAAATGGATGCCTCTCACCAGAGACAATAACCTTTAAAGGCCAAATTACAGCAATAGCCATTAATAATCAAGACAATATACTCGATTTAAATTATGGCGCAGTACAAAATATTTCGAGCAATTTTCGCTTGGATTTAAGGAATAATCGTATCGAGTTCATAAGGGAAGGGGCGTTCTTAAATCTTCCCGGGCTCTATTACATCAACTTGCGATACAACGAAATTACGTGGATTGCTAAAAATTCGTTTAAGGATTTGCCATCATTAAGCGAAGTGTTATTAAGTGATAATAAAATTACGGTGGTGTGGCAGCAGGCTTTCAACAATCTTCCAAAGTTAAGGTACATCGCGTTTACCGGTAACAAGTTGGACCGTTTTGATCAAGATTGGTTCTCTGCAACACCCAATGTGGAACGATTATATTTTGGGTACAATCAGTTACGCGAAATCACGAGGGGTGCCTTTATCAACCTTCCAAACTTGAAGTTTCTCCTGTTCGCCCAAAATCTGCTCGAGTACATCGATCCAGACGCGTTTAAAGGATTGCGAAATTTGGAAAAAATGACTTTCGAGGACAACAGGCTTAGAAGCATCGAGCTCAATCTCCACAGACCTTCCAAACTGGCCGAACTTTACATAATGTTTAATAATATAACGTACATATCGGACAGGATGTTAGAGACGTTGCGACCCAGTTTAAAATCATTTGAGGTGTACCGTAATCCGTGGCAGTGTTCCTGCTTGGATAAGATAGTATCTTGGGGACTTAAAAATAACATTTCGGTTAACGCGGGATGGTTTCGTCCCGAACTAAAAGCTACGGCCGTGTGCGTTTATCCCACGACATACTCACAGGCGTGCCTTGACCGTGGTGAAAACGAGTACGAGCTAGGATTTTGGGCTCACGTTTGGAAGAAAAAGGACTATTAAAATACGATCCTCAACCGCCGTTCTGCTTTCCCAAAATGGCTGGCTGTAAATAGAAAAACTTCAAGTGAGAAAATCGCGACGTATTTTGTGGTTTATATCTTTTGTATAATTTTAGTTTCGGTTTTCCTGGCTTGGTGCAGTTCTTCACCTGAATTTTGCTCAACGTCGCCTTCATATTAGAATGTGATCGCCGAGATGCGCCCCAAATAAATTCTTAAAAGTGCGTAGATTCCTGCAACTGCAACAATATGTAATTGTGATTTGTTTGGACAAATAAAACTTGATACCTAGGTAATCTTACACATTCATTTTCTTTGCCAATCCTTGCTATGAAATTCTTCGAGCAACTTATACCTGCCAGGGGGAAAAGTTAAATTACTGATTGTTACTTTCGCAAAATAATATAATCGTTGCCGCAAGGTCAAAAGAGTTTAAAAACAAATAAAACAAGTTAAACCACGCAGTCTCTGCAATCTAAATGCGACTAATTGGGAAATAGAGAAGACAGGTTGGTACGTTAATCGCAGTACATACTTTTTCAAATGATCAAAGGATCAGTATGTATACACTACGGGGTGTTTCTACAGGCCAAATTCTATAAGAAAATGTTTTTCCCGCTCGATCTCAGACAATTTTTTTCCGGCCTCAAAAAAAGCAAGTGTAACAATTCGTACTTTTTCGATCAGACTTCTCAATCAAAAGTTATAGACTAGAAATCAATTTCGAAAGAAAATTCAAAGGGCTGTAACCTTTGAACTAGTAGCCCAATCTTGGAACTGTTTGAAATTATGGATTCTACAGGCCACATTCTATAAGAAAATTTTTTTTCCGGATCGATCTGAGACAATTTTTTTTTCGGGGCTCAAAAAAAGGCAGTGTATAACCTTCCTTTTTTACCAAAAATCGACTGCACCAAAATTTCTCGGAAAAACACTTTTTCTTATTAATTTTGGTGCGTAGAATCCAAAACAATTCGTACTTTTTCGATCAGACTTCTCAATCAAAAGTTATAGACTAGAAACCAATTTCGAAAGAAAATTCAAAGGGCGGTAACTTTTGAACTAGTAGCCCAATCTTGGAACTGTTTGAAATTATGGATTCTACAGGCCACATTCTATAAGAAAATTTTTTTTCCGGGTCGATTTGAGACAATTTTTTTTTCGGGGCTCAAAAAAAGGCAGTGTATAACCTTCCTTTTTTACCAAAAATCGACTACACCAAAATTTCTCGGGAAAACACCTTTTCTTATTAATTTTGGTGCGTAGAATCCAAAACAATTCGTACTTTTTCGATTAGACTTCTCAATCAAAAGTTATGGACTAGAAACCAATTTCGAAAGAAATTTCAAAGGGCTGTAACTTTTGAATTAGTAGCCCAATCTTCAAACTGTTTAAAATTATGGATTCTACGGGCCAAATTCTATAAGAAAATGTTTTTTCCCGGTCGATCTAGTGGCCTAGTCTTCAAACTATAAGCCCTGCTGATCACTTTGTTGTCTTATTTTTATTAATTAATTATTTACATTAGAATCAATGATATTAAAGAATCCTTTCCTTGATTTGTATAAAATTCGATTGTTATAAAATCATGGCCGACTACCAAAAAGAAAATCCGAAAAAGTATCAATTAAAAAAATGTAAGGAACGTTTTTTGCCTAGAATTACTTCTTTAGACCAGTTAAACGGTAATGGGCAATACGTGTAATTGTTATTATTGGTAAATTCTATGATTTTTTGGTGTGCTGAACACGAATCTAAAGTTTTTTCCAACAAAAATATTCCCAGCAAGTATATGAGAAATCTTCAAAAAACCACTAAAAATGATGATTTTAAATGGTTTCCAACTTATAACTTGCAGAGCAAGCTGTTTACGCAAAAAGTGGTTTTGTTGTCTTTTTACATTTTTTTGTACGTCGGCGTCGTATGGTTTCCGTACCGACAAGTGTTGCTAATGGCTAATTAAGACCTAAGACCCAGTCTAAAGAATTTTGCAAAAAGCAATAAAATTGAACACCCAAACGCCTGGGATAAAGGCGAGAGTGCAACAAAAGATTGGTCGAATTGCAAAGACAGTAGCTCGGACTTGCATTTTAGTGACGAAGAGGAGGACTTGCCTAATGTTAATACAAATTGCAATTGCAAATTGCTGTACTTCTTTTAATCAAGTTTAAGGTGGAAGAGAAAAAAGTCAACTTTACCCCTATAACCAATTCTTCACACAGAATTAAAAATTAAAATATCGTACCTACGAAAATACTCTAAATCAAATGAACTTAATTTTCCTGTAAACGTAGAAGACATAGATGAAATATTACTAGACCAAGGTGCGAAATTAACTGAACTAATTTCGAAATGATCAAGCAAAAGACTTGGCACTAAAAGGGCTTCTTATATGCTCCATTTGATAAAACTATTTTTCGTGCGGTCAAATTATTAAAAAAATGTCTTCTCCGAGATGGGGTGGTAAGCACCTTCAGGGCGAAAACGCCTTTTGGCATGATATACGTTTTGATCCCTAGTCTATTCAAAACCTACTGTCAAAATCGTTTCATTTTGAAAAAGACTGCCAGGTCGAAACTTTCGTTTCCTGTACTATAAAATCCAATACGAGGTTTTCAGATTGTCACATGTTAATATATAATTAAATAAGGAAAGAGGAGGAGGAGCTCTCATTGCGTTGAGATCGACCCTGCATCCTTCACTACTTCTAAGCTACACATCGTATAATTTAGATTATTTAATTTGTTCATTTAATGTTAGTGGGTCTAATTTTATTTTAGCCTGTGTATACTTTGCTCCAAATTGTAGTAATCAGATATATGAAAACTTTTTTTATCAGATCGATAAAATAAAAAAAACTGTTAAGGAATAGTTCAAATCTACTTGTAATAGGGGATTTTAATATTTCAAATTTCTCTTCTGGTTATAATTTTGAAAATAATTATGTGGATTGTAAATTGAAGAGTATTCATAATTTTATGGACCTATATGCAATGGAAAGCTTTAATTCAATATTTAATAGTAATGGTAGGACTCTTCATTTGGTGTTGGCTAATGTACATAGGGTGTCTGTAACCCGGGATATTGTACCTTTAATACGTGAGGATTTGCATCACCCAGCTTTGAATATTTTGGTTCATGCTCCAAGAAATCCATTTACTACATTTAACCTTCAAAATTTAAGTAGCGAAAATATTTTTCCCCAGTTTAAGAAAGTAAATATTAAAAATGTAAAAAATTGTATCCAAGGGTGTGACTGGAAATCTCTATATACTACAACTGATTGTTAATTTAGCTCTTGAAATGTTTTACAATAATTTAAATTAATTTTTTGATTTGTGCGTCCCTAAAAGTACATATAAATGCGAAACAAAATCACCCATTTGGTTTAATGATGATTTAAAATTACTATAACGTAAAAAAACAGATTAGCAAAAAAGAGAAAGCACTCTAGTTATTTTGACAGCAGATTTATTGAGATTCGGAAAATTCTAAAATTTAAAATAGCGGAAGCATATGAAAATTATGTCAAATCTATTGAGGAGCCTGTGAGTAGTGATGTCACAAACTTTTATAAGTATTATAAACAGCAAAGATCAAAATATAAATTGTTGGATGAAATGAATTATGATAATGCCAAATTTAAGGGGTCAGAAATTCCTGATGCCTTTGCTAAATTTTTTAAATCGGTCCATCCAACTGAGAACTCCAGTTATGATCTGGATACGTTGAATGATGATAGTAGTGAGGAATCCAACTTACACTCAGATAAGTTTTGCCTTAAAGTTGTTGATAACAGTGTCACTTCCAGAGCAATAGACCAACTTAAAAATAAAATGAGTAGTGGACCCGATGGAATTCCGACATTTTTTCTTAAACAATTAAAAGATGTTATTTGTGATAAACTGACATTTATCAATTAAAAGTGGTACCTTTCCAACTCTTTGGAAAATGACAAAGATTACTCCAGTTCACAAATCAGGTCCCGAAAATGTAATAACAAACTATAGACCTATATCAATTTTGAACAGCTCTGCGAAAGTATTTGAAAATGTTATTTATAAGACGCTGATGGACGGAGTGAGGTGTTTAATAACTCCCTCTCAGCATGGATTTTATCCCGGCCGATCCACCGAGTCTAACCTACTACTGTTTTCTAATTATGTGCATAGAAATTTGGACGCAAGGGGTAGAATTATTGATGTTGTGTATACCGATTGTTCAAAGGCCTTTGACGTTGTCCATCATGATGTGTTACTCCAAAAACTCAAAAATATGGGTGCGTCTTTATCGTTGGTAAAACTAGTTCGCAGCTACCTAATAGCCAGGAAACGCTATGTCCGTTTTCTTAATTATGATTCTTTTAGTTTCTACTACGTCCGGGGTTCCGCAAGGTTCGAAGCTTGGGCCCCTATTTCTTATTATTTTTATTAATGATTTGCCAAAAATTTTTACCTCCTCTTGTCTCTTGTATGCTAATGATTTGAAACTTTACAAAGAAATAAACTCGGCTCTTGATGCATTGGCTTTGCAGAAGGATTTAGATGCGCTCAATAACTGGTGTATTAATAATAAATTAATGTTAAATATAAAGAAATGTTGTGTTATGTCTATTTCTCGGAAAAAGTCGAGGTGCTCTACTGAATACAGAATTAATAGTGAACGTCTTGAATCAGTCTGCACAGTGAGAGACCTCGGGGTAGTTTTTAATAATAACTTTACATTTGTAAATCATATTGATTATTTAGTAAGTAAGTCTTTCAAAATGATTGGGTGCATAAAAAGAAACACTAGACATTTTAGAAATACAAAGGGAATCATTATGTTATATTGTGCTTTTGTAAGATCAAAGCTAGAATATTGTTTTACTATATGGGCTCCACATACAGTTAAACACATTAAAAGGATAGAAAAGGTGCACAACTATTTTCTTAGATATTTATATTTTAAAAAATTGAATAAGCTTTGCCCAAGAGATTTTCCTTCTGTGATACTTCGTGGTGAAGCTAGTATGTGTAGTTTAAAAGTGCGAAGAGATATATCCAGCGTTATGATTTTGTATAAGATTATTCATGGCTTAAATTGACTCTTCTGAACTACTATGCGAAATTAAATTTAATGTTCCAAGAAATTACAACATGTTTTATATTCCCTGGGCTAAATCTAATTCGTATAAGGACTCGCCACTTTTGTATTCCATGAAATTATATAATTTAATTTCGAAGAATGATACTAATTTAGATATTTTTCACAACAGACACAAATTATTTAAAAGAAACTTCTTTGAGTTATTATAGATCT